TATGGGCTGCTTCTTTGGGCAGGTTTCTACCCCTTGTACTTTGAGGTATAGTTCCGGACTCTCCAACCGCTGTCTTAATTCAGAAATGAGGTGTGCGCGCAGAGTGGACACAGGAGCAGAGGTTCTGTACGCTCTGTGAGCAGAAGAGGCTCTCTCAGGAGGCTGGGAGCGGCTGACGTTCCATGCGAGGAGGAGAGGTCGAGGACAGGACTAGCTTCACTGAGCTGGTGTCTCTCTGTTTATGTGTCTCCAGACTGAGGTCCTTATCACAGGTTTGGGGGCAAAGCAGCAAAACCTAAAATATTCCACTCTCCTTCTCTCTCCTTCCCACCCCCTGCTCGTCCCCAGGGACAGCCTGTGGTCTGCCACCGGAAGGGCCTGCAGCTGGAGCTGTCGTTGCGGGTGCAGGGCAGGCAGGCGAGGGGCCTGGGGAGGATGTCTGGTGAAGGAGGACGAAGGCAGGGATGTCCCTTGGTCTTCCACCAACTCGCAGGCTTGGGCTTAGAGCTTGTGGCTCTCTCTCTAGGACGAGAACTCTTATGACCTCTTTGCCGTCTGTCACCATTTGGGGGATGTCACAGGAGGCCATTACCTGGCCGACATAAAGCCTTCCAAGGACCACCGCTGGTACAGGTTTTCAGATCACACTGTGGAGGTAAGTGCACATTGTGCCTTTGCCCAGGACCTCGGGCCCCACACTGGGCGTGCTTGTCTAAGCTATTCAGGCAGCAATGCTGGCACAGGCCGACCGGCACAAATATCCCTTCTAGGGCATGCCCCTGCAAGGGCACGAGGCGCCGTGTGGTGCAGAACTGTCCCGGGTTTCAATCCCAGCTCTGCCCTCAGCTGGCTGTGTGGTGTCGGGCAAGCCCAACAGACTGAGTTCCTCCTGGAAGGGGGGTGATCCCCGCGGTCACCCCACATCGAGGGTGCCTGGTGGGTGGAGGTAGACGTTGCATGCAGGTGTCGGGATTTGAGGGGACTCAGTGTGCAAGGCACCCGCCAGCTTCCTCAGACTCAGAGAGACCGGCAGAGCCTCCAGCCTCGGAGGGAGCCCAGCACGCGGGGCAGGGGAGGGAGAACCTGATGAACCGGGAGCTGAGGACAGCCGAGTGCTGGAGGACACCGGCTGGGCAGCCGGCAGAGTGTCCCTGCAGGTGCAGTCTCCGGGTCCTGCGTGTCCCAGGGACGGATGAGCCAGGGAGCTGGTGCACACGCGCTGCCCTGTGCTCACTGATGTATGTGTGCACAGCCCACGCCCTTCCCCACGTTAGGCCCGGGTGAAAGCGGCACTGCCCATTAGTGAGTCTCAGTCAGCCTGAGCCTGCCTTGCTGCCTCTGAGCCAGCACACGCCACGCTCGCTGGTCGATCAGCCCCTGACTCTAATGCACAGCACAGGGAGCCCTGCCTGCTCCAGTGCTAAGGAGGAAGCCAACAGTGGTCCTTCCTGGAAGTCCTGCCTCCCCACACCCCCAGGGTGTTTATGCACAGGTCGTGGGGGTGCCTGACTCCTTGAACATGCCCCAGAGTGGGGAGAGGGCCCCATATTCCTAGTGGGGAGCTTGAGCACTGGGGTGCAGGCCCCCATATCACAGACCTATTTATCTCTTGGAGACCCCAATAGCACCCCCAATTCCGTGAAGACAGTGCCAAAACTTGTGTTGCCTGAAAAAGGGCCATCCTGCCCTGCCTATGTCCCCGCAGTGTCCCCCATTTGGGAGGGCAGGAGCATGACCCCTGAGCAGAGCTCTCTGTGCGAGCCTCTTCTCTTTCTCTGTTTCAGCTCACCACACAGCCAGCTGAGTACGGGTAGGTCCAGCCTGTCTTCCTGGGACTCTTGGGGGAGGCGTGGAGTAGCCTGTGCCCAGTATCCAGGTGCTCCTTGTTAGAGAGCGCACAGCAAGGGTCCTGACTCAGGTCCAAGTGAGGGTGGCCTGGCTCACTCCAGGTGGACGGGGCAGCAGAGGGTCTGTCCTGCCCAGATCCTCCTCTGAGCCAACACTGCACCTGCAGGAACAAGACTCCCATGTTGGGGACAAGAGGTCCGCTAAAGACCCCTGGGTGGAGACCACTGTCCTCCCGGCCCCCAACATGCCCCTGCCCTTTAACCAAATGCTCAGGACCCCACACTCTTCCTCACCCCACCTGTGTCTCCTGGTTTCCCCAGAACTGTGTACATGTTGATGTACCACCAGGGGGATTGCCGGGTCTCGGCACTGTCAGCGGGACCCCTTCCCAATCAGCCGGGCCCACCTGAAGCCCCCACTGCGGAGCCTGAGTGTGAGCCTGAGACACTGGGAGAGCCTCTCTTGGGCAGCGACACCTTTTCTGAGTCAGAAAGTCACTAACTGAAGACAAGAGCTGCTGCACAAATATAAAAGCCAATCTACGACGATGCCACCCTGAGTCTCTGTCCTGGGTCTCAGACACCCCCTCCCCTTGGACCCTCCAGGAGGAGAGACTTGTCCAAGAACGGTGGGATGTGCTGGGATCCTCCTGCCTGGGGGCACGTGTCAGGGCCCCCATGTCCCCGATGCTCCTGCAGCCTCCCTTCAGGCCTTCACAGGTGACGCTGTGGCATCCAGGCCAGGGGGACATGAGCCTCTGGGGTGAGGACAGCTCTTCCCAGAGGAGGCTGACAGACCCCACTGCCCACCATGTTCCGTCCCTCTGGGTGGGGAACGGCTGGGGGCTGGGGTGTGAAGGGTCCTCAGGGAGACGCTCTCTGCCTTGTTTCTGGATCCTCTGAGTTTGTGTCTCATGGACCTTTTCCTTGGCTTCTGCCAATAAAACGTCAGGAAAAAGACAGCCTCTCTGTGTGCCCTCGCCGCACCCCAGGACCGGGGACCCTGCTGCTGGCCCAGGGGCATGAACACAGGCAGGTGGGGGTGGGGATAGGGGACCCCAGCAGTGGGCGCAGGACAACCTTGAGAAGAGGCATTTAGAGGGTCCCTCGGCCCCTTCAGGGGCTCTGAGTCAGGCACCCCTCACTCAATCTCCAGGGGGGCCAAGGAGCCCTGTCCAGGACTCTGGGAAGGGTCCTACACTGCATCCCAGTGTCCTGAGACCATGCAGGACAGGACCCTGGAGCCCCCAAAGGAGTGGCAGCAGGATGCAGTTTGGGGAGGCAGACCCCCTTCCCAGGCCTTCTCTGAGAACTGACTGGGAGACTGGGTGAGGCTGTTCCAGGAGGGGTGGAGACTTCCACAGGACAGACTGCAGCAGCCGCCTGACACCACAAAGGTCATTTCCTGGAAATGGCCTGCTGAGGACTGAAACCTACCAGGAGCCAAGCTGCACTGTGGCGGATTAGGGGTCTGTTTGGGTCTAAGGCTTAGGGTACGGTGTTTAGGGTTTAGAGCTTAGTCGTGAAGGTTATGGTCAGGGTCAGTGGTAGGGTTAGGTTGAGAGTTAAGGTTAGGGAGTCATAATCAGGATTAGGGTTGGAGTTAAGGTTAGGGAGTCATAGTCAAGGATAATGTTGAGTTAAGGTTGAGCTGGGGTTAGGATTAGGGTTAGAGTTTATGGTTAGTGTTAGAGGGTTAGGGTCAGGGTTAGGGTTAGAGTTAAGGTTACGGGATTAGGGTTAGGATTAAGGTTAAGGTTAGGGGGCTCAGGTTAGGGTTAAGGTTAAGGAGTTAGGATTAGGGTTAGAGTTAAGGTTAGGGAGTTAGGGTTAGGATTAGGGTTAAGTCTCCAGTTGCCAGTTGTGGTCCCACTGCAGCTAGGTGAAGGGCTGCCAGGACACGTGGAAGCAGGGTTGGGGGTCCGGCCAGAATAGGCTCCTGAGCCTTCTCTCCCCACCACTACCTCAGTCAGACCCTCAATGTGGACAGTGGCAGGGCTGGTACAGCTAACTGGGGACTTGCAAAGCCAGGTGGCCAGTCTCACTCATGATTTATTTAGGGAGTCCCTTGATTTCTTTCCCACTCGGAGGGCTCACCTGGTTTCTACTGCAGCACACAGCTCCATGATGCCCAGTCATGGGACACCCAGTCCCCCAGTCAGTCTGGCCTGGCTGAGCAGTTCCCATGTGGCCCCAAGCACCTTCATAGTGCCTGGTCAAGGATGACCCCAACCCTGTCGGGTGCAGCAGTCCTGCTGTGGACAGACACCTCCAGCAGGGTGGGCACCGCTCCTGCAAAGACTGATGACCACCGTCTGTCTTGTACAGTGCTGCCCAGACTCCGGGTAGACTCAGAGTTCACATGCTCCTCTGTGTGTTGGGTTGGGGGAGGGCTGCCTTGTCAGTAAGCCCTGCTTCTAAGGGTGTGTGTGTGTGTGTGTGTGTGTGTGTGTGTGTGTGTGTGTGTGTGTGAGAGAGAGAGAGAGAGAGAGAGGGCTGCTTGGTCAGTAAGCCCTGGTCCCAAGGGTAACCTGAGAACTGGAGAGGGAGCAGTAGGGGGCCGGGAACTGCCCTCAGAGAGCTCAAAGAGCTTGGGCCTGAAGCTGCATTCCTGCTGCGCCCCCCCCCCCACGTCCTGAAAATTCACGACCCCCATTTGAACAGCACGTGCTAAAACATGCGATGCCTGGAAGCGAACAGCACGTGCTCAGAACGACTGCAGGCTGTGAACCATCGCCTCCACATGGGCCTCCATCCTGCCAATGCCTGCCCCAGCCGCCCCACCCCTTTCCCAGACCCGTCAGGAAAAAGGAGGGAACACTTCCTTCCATGGGGGTCCTCCTTCATCCCACTCACGTTGAGACCACAGTCACCCGTGCCAACGTGCAAGCCAACCACTCCACACCGGTAGCCCCCTCTCTCCGGTCATCTCATTTCTGAATCGCCCATCTCCGTGCTCTGAGGGGACAAGCATGTTCTGGGAGCTGGGGCATCTCCGTTCCAGTCAGAACTCTGTCCCTCTCACTCGCACACTTGAGAGCATTTGCCATCTGTCTGTCCGACCACAGCAGGACAGACAGTGCCCAACAGGAAGGAAACACTGCCTGCCGGTCCTACGCCTTCCCCACCAGCTTCCGTGCCGGAGCCATCGTTCCCGCCCGAAGTCAGTCCACCTCCTTGAAAGACCTTCCTCTGTCGCTGCCCCCCACTTGCCAAGCACGATGTCCTTCCCCAGGGACTGGTCTCTCCTCGAGGTCATAGACCGGAAAACATACAAAAACAAACAAAAAGCCAACAACGAAATAGAGGAAAACATCAATCGAAAAGAAAGTTGAAAACATTAAAAAACTAGAACAAATTTAAAATGCATCCAGAGGGAGATCAAATGATGAGGTGTTGAATTTTAACGGCACAGAACCTGCCTTGACCGGCGTCCCCATGCAGGCTGCAGTGGGCAAGGCTAGCCCCCCAGCCCCGCGGAATGCCCCTTCCTCTCTCAGAAACCGGAAACAACTTGTAAATGGCCGGTCGGAGGCCAGCCTTTCACGGTTGTTCTAGCTTTAACTATTCTCTGCTTCCTTTGCAGTCTGTCTGATTTTGTTATCCTTGTCCGTTTCCTCTGTCTGCGCTGGAGGGTGTTTCTGTCTGTGTGTTCCAGAGTAGGGGAACCCCTGTCCACAGAAGCTGGGTTCGTGGTTCCCGGGGAGCCTGGTGGGGGAGGGGAGGGACATGGGAGCTAGTGATGAGGAGGAGGATTAGGGAGTGTCCTAAACTGATGGTGATGACGATTGTACAACTTGTTCTCGATCTGATCGCACTCTTGACTTGCGTGATGTGTGAATCATATGCCAATAAAACGGTTGGGAAAGAAGAGCTTGAAGGATGGGGGGTGTCAGGGGACCCCTCGTGGTTGGGGTGGCCCCCCGGGCTAGGGACCAGAGCGTTCCCATGCTTGTTAGCCACCGCGGTCGGGTCATCCTTGCTGAGCTGCTTACCCATGTCCTTTTCCATCGTCGCAGAATCCTATAGATGTTCCTGATTAGTCCTCGCGCCCTTACGCACTGCTGCAGATCCCCCCAATCTGGGGACTCTCATTTCACCCTTTTGATGAGGTCTTTTGGGGTGCAGAAGTGTTTATATTTTCAATAGGTCCCAGGCACCTATTGTGTCTTCTGATGCATGTGCTTCTTTCTGCTGGCTGGTAGTCGGGTGTGCGTGGGGGCCTTTCCGTGTGTCCCCGGTTTCCCACTGATGAGCCTGAGAGCTCTGGGCTCACAGTTAGGTCTCTGATCATCACGCAGGGGGAGAGGTATGGGAGACACCTGAGTTTCGGTAAAAGACGAAACACATTAAGTGGGTGTGCTCGCTTCGGCAGCACATATACCAGACACATTGAGTGGGGGGAGAGAGAGGCTTTTCAAGAAATGGTGCTGGGAAAATTGGATGTCCAAGTGAAAGGAACAAAACAGGAGCCGTACCTCACACCACACACAAAAACGAACTCAAGACGGATTAAAGGCCTAAATATAAACCCTAGAACCAAAAATATCATCGATGGAAGAATAGGGATACATTTAAAGGCCTTAACACAAGGTATACATATCCTACCGGACAGAAGGAAAGCATCCAGCCCGCAGAAGGCAGCCCAGAGGACCGCAGCATCCACATGACGACAGGCACGCGCCTCAAGATGCCCTCCCAAGCGTTAGAGAGAACCGCAGATTGGGAAAATGTTCAGTCACGCCGCATCAGATAAAGGGCTAGTTTCCATCACCTGTAGAAAACGGCACCTTAACAACAATACTAATAATAACCCAGCCCCCAAATGGGCACAAGACGTGGATGAACAATTATACAGGTGACATCCAGGCGACCAACAACCATATGAAAACAGAAAGCAGGTGCAGCCACCCTGAGGACATCCTGGTGAGGTGAAGTCCCCCCTCCCACCCACCCCTGGCCTTGCCTATCCTGGGCCCTCCCGGTGGTCGGTCACAGAATCCAGTGGGGGTCTTGACATACCCCACTGTGCACCCTGCCCCCACAGCCCCATCCAGGCCTCCTCTGTGTGCTGTGACGGCAACACCTCCTGCCACTGAGTGTGCGTGTGAGGGGGTGTGCATGTGGTGGTGTGTGTGTGAGGGTGTGCGTGTGAGGGAGTGCATGTGAGAGTGTGTGCATCGGGCAATGTGTGCTTGTGATCATGCCATGGGCGTGCATGTGTGAAAGTATGAGAACCTGTGTGTGCATTGAAAAACTGCCCTTGTACCCATGTGTTTGAGTGTGCACCTGGGTGTGAGAGTGTGCATCTGTGTGAATGTATGTGTGCTCATACACATGCCTGTGAGTGTGAGAGTGTGCATAGGTGAGCATGTGGTGATCCTCATAACTGAGAGCATGAGTATATGCACTTGTGTGCATCTATGTGTTCGTCAGTGTGTGTGCATGTGTCAGTTTTGATCAGTACTCATGCCCATGTGTGCATGTGTGTGAGTGTGAGTGTGCATGGGAGAGTGTCTACATTTGTGAGTGTGTGCCTATACCAAGGCCTATTAGTGTGCCCTTGGGTGAAAAAGTGTGTTCACCTGTATGCTTATCTATACTCACACCTGTGAGTGTGCCTGTGTATGAGAGTGTGCACCTGTGTCTGTAAAACTGTTATTGTGTTCTTGTACTGAAGCCTATGTGGGTGCATCTCTGTGTGAGAGTGTACGTGTATGAGAGTGTGCACCTGTGTGTGTACGTGTGTGATTCTACTCAGGACTGTGGGTGCCTCTCACAGTGGAGTGTGCACCTGTGTCTGACGTGGGTGAGTGTGTGCTTGTACTCACATATGTGAGTGTGCATCTGGGTGTGAGAGTGTCCTAGGTTTGGAGGGAACCCTGCAGCCAGGGTGGCAGAGACAAGGGCTGAGAGGGGAGGAACCCTTTGTCTGGAATGAACATCATGTCCCCAAATGTGT